ATATAGTCCAACTAAACCGTTATAGGCAGTGGCGTAGCTAGAGTGGGGTGGGGGGAAGGTTGAAAATCACCTTGGCCCCAACTTGAGATGGGCCCCCAAATGAGTGTTCGAAATAATTTTTTACATTACATATTAGTTACTACGTAAAATGCAGGGGCCTCAAAAGAGGCCAAGCCCCCCACCGGGCCCCCAAATGATGGCGAATTCCTAGCTACGGTAGGTATGCGAGTTGTTTTATTAATCCTCTTCATTGACTTTTTTCTTGTGACGGTAAATTTTTATTTTGAAGAGACCTGCTCGTCCACAATAAAACGAGCAGGTGTATATAGTTCGTCCATCGTGGTTCGATGATGACCACTTTGTCATCCAGAGGGGTGAGGGCTTTGCACTGGGGTTTTATGCCTCCTCATGTGGCTGGTGAGACCTATGTGAGCCCAGAATGTTCGGCTGCACACTGGGCAGGTTATTCCAGCTGGAGTTGGAAAACGCAAGTGTAGGTGGAATTCAAAGACACATTCAAAGACCGCATCACAAACCAAGAGATTCAAGACAGGGCTACAGCAGCCATTAGACCCCATGATCATATGATGATCTGCTAACTATCGTAAAAAAAAAACGCAAGCTAAAAATCTATGGCAATATTACAAGATCTTCCTTCGAGGAACAGTAGAAAAAAGCAGACAAAGAAAGCGATGGGAGGACAACCTAAAAGAATGGACGCCATTGAAAGAGGCTATACTACGGCATAAGACAGAGAGGAATGGAGAAAGACAGTGGAAGAATCTTGCATGGTGCCCCAACGATCCAACAGACTAAGAGATATGTAAAGTGGGTTTAGGTGTTTGAGGAGCCAGCCAGTATTCTTTTGGCTCTTTTTTTCTTCCTCAGATGATGTCATGGCATTTTCTTTCTCCATAGCTCTCTTTGTCCCTCTCCCTACACGGTGTGGGTTCAAGGCTTTTTCGTCCCAGTAGTCAACATCGATGTCCAATTTCTTTTTCCTGACAACACAAGAATCAATTTTTTTTTTAATTAAATAATGAGCTTTTGGTAATAAATTATTTTGTTTGGTATCTCGCACAAGGACAGAAATTGTACTCGACTTAAGTGGCGGTATAATTTGAATTAGTCCCCTTTATCTGTCGCCGCTTTAAAGTAAGTTTGAAACAAACAATAGATAACTATACCTTACTACCTCACTGCAACTCACTAACAGAGAGGTTAGTATGTCGGCTTGAGTTCGAATTCGTTTTTTGGGGGGTTTTTTGTAAATGTTTTTAAAAACCGGTAAAATTCAACGAGATATTTCTTCCCTTCCTCTCCTCCATTTTTACGTGACAGACTTACTCGTTGTTACATCAGAATACGCCAGCCAATACAAGCATGCATACACACTCTCCACGACTCACTGATTGCAACAGTAGTAGTGGAGATCTTCTGACATTACAGATTATAGAGTTAAGGTTCAGCGTACCCCATCCTGTACATTCCAGGTACCTGTGAAGACACAATCTCTTCTAGGTAACTTCCTTTTCTTTTGATCAAGGGTCTTCGTATCGATTTTGGAAACTCGGCCAGGAGTTTTCAAAGCGTAATCACGTAAACACATTTTCTTATTCCTTTTTAAGCAAACTTTATATTCACTCCTATTTATTTTAAATATGTAAGGTCACAGTTGGGGCTGCGCAGCCACCGGAAATACTGCATTCTCTAGACTCTATGATTTATTGTGTTATCATTATTATTGTTATTATTTATTTTGAATATATTTTTAAACATTTATTCTAGCTTCTCGATGTTTCGATTATTAAATTCATTAATTTATCTCTTGGTGTTTGTTTGTTTAATGTTGTAGATTTTCTTTCAGAAGTGAAAATCATTACATCCGGACAGAGTGTGTGTTTGTGGGGGTGGAAAGGGGTACCATCGAGACGACAGTCATTTTCGAAAAGCCTGTGATTGATTCTGTTCAGACGAATTGCTTCCATTTTTCTTTTAATCTTAATGAAGCCATTAGTGCCACTGTTCATCACATTTCGCTCATAAAGATAATGAATGCATAACTGTAACTGGTTTTAACTTGTTGTGCTAACAGAAAAAAAACAACAATATTTCTACAAAACAGCAGAGTCCAACGTAAATAATAAAAGAGACCATTAGCAGTAAAGTCTTTATTAACGATAATGTATTGTCTTCTAGTCCGAAGTTTAAGGCCGCTTGCACACAGCGTGGTTTTGGCCGTACGGCGAATGGTGCAAAAAAGGGAATAGGAGCTTTCATATTATTCACTGGCGGTAAAATGGATTGATAACGTGGTGTACGTTGCATTAGTGCCGTTTATTGTTTTTGCAAAGAAAAGTTTGTAAATAAAACATATTCTCATAAGCAGCAACCTGGCACAGTGGTTAGTGTGTTGGCTTGAGGAGGCTGAGGAGACCTTAATCCTTGAGTTCGAATTCAGGTCACTAGCTTTTTATTTTTTATAAATACATTAAAAAAGCGATCGCCCAGAAACCCCCATTCTTTCTCTTCCCTACCCCTTTCCCAACTGGTTGTGATGTTAGGATCATTGCGTATTGAGAAAGCTAAAAGCATGAAATAGCACTAATTTTAAAAAAAGGTACTTTTTGTTTTACTTTCTGGTATTGTCTGTTTCTTGGTTTGGACGCATACGGCGAACACATAAGTGTGCATCTATTTATGCAAACGTGTAGAGACTTAACATGCCTTTGGTAATAGAAGCTCTGTCTAAAGAAAAACAGATATACAGCTTATTAGTTAAATAAAACATTTTAAAAAGCTGAGAAATAATCTTTTCTTTTTTTTGTCTCTCTAATTTCGGATTTTCCCGGCAATGTCACGTGAGATGCAAAAATAGAAAGAACTCAGTAGGTCGTCACGTAGAGTAAGTGTTGCGCATCAGTGACTCTAGGTAGATTTTATTTAGTGGCTTCCGGATTTTTTGAAAGGTTGTTTTTTTTTTTGGGTGATGGTGCAATGAATCACTTACACAAATACATTGTCTGAAGTACAGGGCATTCAACCAACCGAGCTCACATTTAAAAAATTTAGTGTTTTTTTTTTTTTGGTTTAAATATTTTTCTCTCGAAATTCAACGTTAAAGAAATCTAGGCTCTTCTACTTAAAGTTGTGGGTTCGAGTCCAAGTGGCAGTTCAGCCTATAGAGGTACCTGGCCTGCTCTAGCACATCTTTCCATTCTTATAAATCATGTGCTTTACATCCCTATGTCCTGGCCTCTCTAGTACATCTTTCCATTCTGATATATTCTGGACTTCTGGACTTTACCTCTCCATGCCCGGACTCTTAGCTGTTCTAGATTTGCCTAAACAATTTGTACCAAGCAACAATGTGTTTCTTATGTCACCTTAAATGGAAAAAGTCAATGTGCTGTCCAGAAAGGTTGGCTGCTTGGTCGTGTGGCATGCGATCTGGACTTTCTTCTCGATGGTGCCTTGTTTGAATCCTGCGAGCCGCCACCCCCAAACCCTGCCGTCCTGCAGGAGGTTTGGGCTAGGATGGTAATAATCTTCCATTTTAAAAGAATACCCGAAACACAGAAAACACAATAGCAATATCTTAGTGAAGAGCTGACCACAGACACTGGTCAACTATATTTCTAAACATCTTCACGTACACCTTCATCTATCCCTTAGAGTGTTGGACCGTTGGGGCATCACAAAAGATCTGTAGACAGTATTTCTCCATTCTTTTCTGTCTTTTGCCTTTGAGAGAATCTCTTTCAATGACAGGCCCGTCCATTCTTTCTCTGTCCGCCTCTTCTACTTTTTTCCTGATACTGTTCCCTGAAAGAAGGTTTTTGCGAAGTTTAAGTTTGGGTATTTGACAGTAGTTAGCAGATCGTCGTGGGGTCCAATAGCTGTAAGACTAAGACTGCTCTATCGATCCATATGGAAATTTGTTGTGATTTCAAGGACTCTTTTCTCATATAAAAACAACACAACAGAAACATTCACATCAATAGAACAGACACAACATAGAAAGTTCATTGAGCGACTAAACACAGATATCATGGTCCTTTTCATTTTTGATCAACGAGTGGCGTTGATATAATCTGACCGAGTAAGGTACGAACGAGTTTTTGTACCGCTCGGTTCTAGTCTTGATAGATAGAAGTCGTCCACTTCGCTACCACTTGACGTAGTTATGATGGAGCAGGTGGCTGTTGTTTTCCAATATTATTCCAATTTTTCTGATACAGTTCATTTAAATATGATAGTGTTATAACTCTACCATGCGCACCGCTATCCAAGCTAGTGCTGAAGGTGCGCACTTCTAGAAACTAGTCTAGGAAGTATGTTTACATTAAGAGGAAAGAACGATTTCCGCCCAAGTCTAGAGCCGAGATGAAGATGCTGTGTTCAGGGCAGATGTCTTATGTGTTTGTCATGACTCCATGTATTAAATATCTATGTCTCGTTGAGTTGCCTCCCTTAAGTTATTACAATAGTGTTGTGCATGTGATTTTAGATGCTTTTTAAAAGTGTTGTCTAAGCGGCACAACAGTTTAGATGACGCGTTACCTTGCCAACAAGTTATTCCATATGTTAGCAGATTTTGTATAGTCGCGCAGTAAAAATTATCTAGGATCTTCTTGTTTAGTTTACAGCTATTGAGTTTGTATAGGGAAAATAGTCACTAGGCTATTAATCCTGTTTCCAATTTCTTTATTTGTGATGCGGTCTTTGTGATACCTGGGATCTTTCTGTAGCATTTCTAAACTACAGTTTCTCAACGAAGTTCACACTAAGCATATACTTTCGTAGCAGATTCTGTCTTGATTCAAAGAAGCTTATACAGTCTAGTATTTTATCTAATACAGTGTTCCGTGAGGCCTGAATAGGTGTTCCACGCACTATTTGAATAATTAACTAGTAGGCCACCACGTGCATCAATCTCTCTAAAAAAAAATAGCAAAGTGTTCCTCTATATACTCAGAGTGGGCGAATGGTTCCGTTAAGGAAAAAAGTCTGGGAACCACTGATCTAATAGAATACAGGAGAGCTGTAGGTCGTCCACTTCCAACATATAAAATACTGAAATTTAAGAGCAACATGAGTCTCTTCGGAATAGACACCCAATAGTGCGGAGAAAGAAGCACAGGATAGATCCACATGGAAGGATGCAGAGGTGTCCTTAGCAGAGCGCGGGGCCCTGTGTGATGTCCTATGTGGGGTCCTTAGCCTATATATATCGTACCACATCTCGCTTACAGGCTCGTTCGCCTTTAACGATGTAGGCCTTTTTTTTTGCTAATAAACATAGTAGCTTACTTAGGTACTGTACTATTGGCCTTTTCACTAATTACATAGTCATACTGTATTGTGATTTCTGCATGAAAGATTTCGCCTTTTAAGGTTAATAAACGTAACAAATGATTCAGAAACATTTTGCATGAAAAATCCACATACTAGACAGAAACGAGCGTATTTTTGTTAAACGATCATTAGTTCACGTCTGCTTTACATTGACATACATCTATATTGAAGCTGTTTATGTGCATTTGTTTTTAATACTTGGGAACAGAAAATCCTCAGGAAAATCTATAGTGCCATACAAGATGAAACAGGGTGGAGGACACGCACTAACCATGAGATATATCAATTGTATGAAGACCCACCAATAGTGAACGAAATAAAAAGAACAGACTACGCTGGGCAGGTCACCTTGAAAGAATGTCAGATAACAGAAGAGCGAAAATTGTATACAGGCAAAAATCAAAAGGCAGGCGACCCAAAGGCAGACCCCGAATGCGATGGATTGATGAAGTAGAAGCAGATCTGCATCAGCTTGGGGTTAGGGCGTGGAGACGAAAGGCCCAGGAGAGATCTGAATGGAAGGATGTGTTGAAGCAGGCCAGAGCTGTAGCGCCACAGGGATGGAGGGATAGGTTTTAAAGTTTGGTTTGAAAAGAAGTTTGCTCAAGTTGTAATCACGATCAATGTTTAAAGAGAAGTCTACAACTATTTACGTGCCCCAGATAATAATAATTTTATTTATAAAGCGCTGTTAACACACAAAATGTAGGCTCAAGGCGCTGTAACATTACAAACACAACCACGACAGCTAACATTACAGTTAATCTAAAAAAGTTTGAAACAAGTAGGTCTTAATGTTCTTCTTAAAAGTGGTGTAGCATGTTGTCTGTCTGAGCTCAATGGGGAGTGAGTTCCAAACCTTTGGTCCGTGCTCTGAAAAAGCCCGCAGACCGTAGCTTGTGAGGGAGAAACGTGGCACTACTAAAAGCGTTGAGTCCATTGAGCGTAAGGCTCTCTGGGGGACATATGGAGTAATCAGTTCGCTAAGGTACAAGGGCATCTCGTTGTTATATATACACTGATGACAAAGTGTGGCGGCCTTGTAATCGATTCTCGCTTTCAAGCCAATGGAGCGTGCGCAAGAGCGTTGTAGCAGAATCTTGTCTTGTTTTTCTAAGTACTATTCGTGCGGCGTTGTTCTGTATACGTTGCAGCTTGGCTATTTTGTCATCAGGTATACCTGCTAGCACGGCGTAACAGTAGTCAAGGCGGGAGAGTATGAATACCACACCAGATGTCAGGGGGGAAAGCCAAACTAGCATGTATCAATACCCACTTTCTTTTTGCCGCCGGCCAATCTGCCCCATTCAGGGTGACATTTTCATTCCTATCATCATTTCTGTCTCTAAGTACTGCTTTTTGAATTGCAAACAATTATGTCCTGGACAACCAAACAATTCTTAACATTGGTGTTGTAGACTTTCTAAAATAAAAATAGACAAAACGTGGCTACTTTCTACAGCTCTAGAGCTTAGAAAGGGGACGTTTAGCTCCAGGTGAGCTTAACTGCATACATTATTAATCTTTTAACATTGTGTGCGGCTGCTTAGATGAAATTAACCGTCTTATCCTAAGCTAAAATTTACGGTCTGCGGGTTTTTTCTGTGCATGGACCAAAGATTTGGAACTCACTCCCCATTGATCTCAGAAAGAAACATGCTTCACTACATGCAAGAAGAACATTAAGACCTATCTGTTTAAAACTTTTTTAGATTAGTTTGTCATTTTAGCTCTCGTGATTATGTTTGTAATATTATCACAGCACATTGAGCCTACATTTTGTTTGTTAACAGCGCTTTATAAATAAAACCATTATTGGATTATTATTAAATTATTGAAATACAATATTCAATTAATCGTCAACAAATAAGATAATCAATTTAAAATAAAAATTATTGAGAAAAAAACACAATAAAAAACAAAAATGTATTATTCTATTTTATTTTTAATAACCGTTTTTAAACAATACTCAAAATATTAAATGCATAAAAAAAGTATAAAAGTAAAAAAAAGCTGTACAAGTTTGTTTTTTTTAAAGTGTTTTTATACTATACATTCGGATACTAAGACATTTTACTGCAAACATGCTAGTATTCTCATTTAAGACATCTGTACTTCAAATTAGGTTCTAATTTCACACCACTTCTACATTACACGAAATGAACAATTTGCATAATGGTAGCAAGTCTAAAACGTTTTCATTAGGACATCTCTTTGTCTTTATCAAGACATTCTAAATGTTATACCAAGTTCATAAGAATTAGTTGTAAAGGCATAATAATATTTCAACTTCATAAAAACGTTATCCAACAGATTATCCAATAACATCCTTACAACAGTATCAACACATCGAATTAAGTTAACTGTATTTAACATCATATCTAGTCAAAACATCCGAACACCCATAGGTCACGCATTGTTTTTTTTTTATGTTGTACCTGACTCGGATGTTTTGCATGTTTTTGGATGTTCCTTCCGAATTAAAGATTATTATATCCCAACTCAACCCCCCCCCCCCCCATCCTTACAAGAAGACGGAAGATCAAGGCGGTCAGGGTTCGAGCCCTAGACCATCAAGACGACAGACCATTAACACCAACCACACATCCTACTACTTATTACAAGTACTAAAAGTTTGCCTTTTTTTTCACTGACATTTAATAATTTGTGTAATTTAATATTACCCCCCTTTTTTTGAAAAAAAAACAGCAATACAAAATGTCTGCAAACACGAGGGATGTCAACCTGGCACTATACACACAATGTGTATACCACAGACCTATATATATTATATCTAGACTTGACATGGAGATCTCTTAACACTACAAAGCAATGTCGTGAAAAACTTCAAAAAAGCTGAAACAAGGCGTTGTTATATAAAGTAGTAATAAGAAGTTGGGTTTTTTTTAACCCTAACCTATATAACATATGATTTACTGTTTAGATCTAGATCTAGTAATTGAACATCAAAAATAAGAGCAATCTAGTATCAAAATTATTATTTTGCAATTTTTTGATACATAATCTACAAAGATCTAGGTAATCAATCTAAATTTAAATGTACATAAGATGATTTTAATCAACATGAATTTTTTCGATCTAGGATTTGCGAAAAATTATCTCAATGGAAACTAACAGTAACAGGCTTTATTTCATTTATTTGCGTGAATATATATTTCTGTAATTAATAGCTCATTCTAATTAAAATCCGATAAAATGGTATTGCATTATTTCTAAACTTTCGGAACTAAAGATCATCATCTAAGACAGAAAAAATCCATTTTCCTAGATTTGGGACGACTTCCATTACAGCTTGAAAAAAAGTTACGTACATAAACATTCTATATATATAGGTCTGTGAATTGATCAATATCGGATAAAAATTTGTTTCCGTTTTCCATTCCCGATATAATATATATAGGTCTGTGGTGTATACGTTTATTAAATAGTGGAATGTTATTTTTGGGAGTAGAGTAGAAAACCGATGAAATCGAAACAAAACATTATCTACACTCTATACAAGCTTTAATTACAAACGAAACAATATCTACATAAGTTTTGATTATTAAGTGTGCCATTCGATACATTGTCGAGTACAATCAGTATCTGCTCTTCGTCAGTCAAAGAACAAGAAAAATGAAAGTTATATAGGTAATGTCTTCGATTCCCAAGATTAAGGATGAGTGCAGTGTTTCACGTGACTATGCAAACCCGGTTGCGACCTGCATTTTTTTCCACACCTGATGCAGACAAAGCCGTTGCCCTCTGGAGGTCTATGAACACAAATTAAAAAGGATGAGTCGAGATATGGAGCTCACATTTGGAAAATCGATGTATGCATACAGAAATAAATTTAAAAAAATAAAAACAATAACCGTGAAAGAAACGACTCTTCAGTTATATCTACACATCAATTCAATTCTAGAGATGCATTTCTTAAGCAAAGACGCTTGGGCATGTTTGGCAAGATCTTATTAGCATAAAAAAAAAAAATTTAAAAAAAAACATTTCATTTTTTGTAAGTCTTATTTTTTTTACATGGTGTGCCCTGCACAGAGTCCCGATTTTTATGGAGAGCGACTCAAATTTATTCACTATGGTCTCCCCTTGAACGTTTGGAAGGAACCGTAGTCGAAAAAACTGTCCCTGTACAGTCATCTCACTGATTTAGTCAAATACAGGTTTATCTTGAAGTCTAGTCACATGATGGGCTATTTCTATCTTCAAGGTCCGCGTCATTTCACCAAGATTATTTCAGTATTAGCGTTCAACAAATTCAGACTTAATTCACCCCTCATAAAGGTCAATTTCAGAATTTCAACATTCATCTCTATGAATTAAGCTAAACCTTATTGAAATTCCATCGTCCAAAAGGTTGAACTGTACATTTTCGGAATTTCCTAGTCCACAATGTTAAACTGTACATTTTCTGAATTTCTTAGTCCAAAATGTTGAACTGTACATTCTAGGAATTTCCAAGTAAAAATGTTGAACGGTACATTTTTGGAATTTCTTAGTCCAAAATGTTAATCTGAACATTCTTGGAATTCCGTATTCAAATTACATTGTACGAAAACAAGTTTAAAGCGTTGCGATTCCTTTGTCCAAGACACTGTGACAGTTCTAGAGTTGAACGAAAGTGTTTAACATCCCCGAATGATTGACTCTAGATGGCATTCCAGTCACTTCTATGTTGACGCCATCTCACTCCAAA